TAGATATATTCATGTTATTAGATCCAATTTAATTGCATTATTCAAAATTTATTATTTGATGGTTCCTCGACTCATAGTAATTAATTTATACATTTTATAGTATTATCGATCATCCATGACCATTGTGAAAGTCTATCCGTTAATTTATTAAAATGATTCATATTTCGGTTCAGGTGATATCATATATAAAATGAATTGAATTTTTCATCAGAAAGAAATGTATTTACGCGTTGGTATTTTTATTTAAATGGGAAAAAAAAAAAAAAATAAAATTATAGCAATTAAAAATCTATGTAAGAATATATAGTATTTCATCAGTAATGTTCACGAGTTTAACACGATTTCGTAATAAATTAATAATATACATTTATATTTGACTGTGCGTAATTTTATTCGAATCAATGTTATAATATTACAAACCAGAAATAGTATGTATGTGTGCGTGTGTGTCTGTATATATATATATATTTTTTTCTCTCTTTGTCTTCCGCATTTTTCTGTTTCTGTTTCTTTTTCTTTTTTTTTTATTTAATCTTCAGATTTTATTTTAATATTTCCTAGCAGGTAGGCATAACTTCATAACAATTTATTTCTTTAATTAATCCGTATTTATTTTATCAGTATTAATATAATATAAATTGATAATAATAAACGAAGAAAATAGAATTAAATAGATTGGAAGAAATTTATAAGAAACAATGATCTAAAATAAATTGTGAATACGTTTGTTGACATTTTAAAAATGTGAAAGTAAATGGAAGCAAAAAAAAAATATTCTTCGGCAAAGCACATTAATGTTCGTTGGACAAAAAATTTATAATATGGATGAATGAAAAAAAAATGAAAATAAAAAGAAGAAAAAGAAAAAAGAAGAAGAAGAAGAAGAAAGAAAAACAGAATTTTTACGCTTTCTATTTTTTTTTTCTTTTCCTTTTTTAAAGAATGAAAAGGAGGGAAAAAAATTGAAATTACAATTTCTCTCCTCTCTCTCTCTCTTTCTCTTTTTCTCTTTCTCTTTTTCTCTTTCTCTTTCCCTCTTTCTTTAGAGTGTACCTTCTCATTCGTCGGCTTGCTTTCTGCAATGCAAACTGGCCGCTATATCGATCGGCTCGACGAGGTCGGTGAACGAACCCTTGCGCTTTGTGAAATTCATTTTCCATTTCCTCATCCCCTTTTCACAGTGAGAAGCGTTTTTAAAATTTGTTGTCGCTACAAATCAAGCGGGGGAAAAGAGCCCGCAGATTTATCTATATCTTCATGCATCTGTACATGGCAACCAGTCCAATCGTCAGAGATTTTTAAATGGCGCGAAATTTTTAAAAACGCAAAACCATGTTGCGCGATCCGTTAGCAAACGGATGTTTAATAACAAAAAATTATATATATATATATATATATTTTTTTTTTTTTACGTTTCGTGTACGAATTTGAAATATTCAATCTAACGAGAAATCGTTTAATATTTACATACAATTATTTTTAAAAATAAACTTTCGAAAATTTTTTTTTCTTTTTAATAAAACTTCTACAATTGTTTTTCGAAAGTAAAACTTTTAACAATATATTTTTAATAATAACAATATATTTTTTTAAATATAACAAAATTATTATTACTATTATTATTATTATTATTATTATTATTATTATTGTTATTTTTATTTTTATTATTATTATTATTTTTATTTTGTTTTTTAATTGAAAGAAATAATCAAATAATACGAAAAGTACTTTGTTATCATAATGAAAAAGAGATATTAATTAATTTGAGTAAATTTGATTTAATTAAGAAGGAAAAAAAAATTGCAAGATATATAAAATAGAAATCTTGGCATTATCGATAACGTAGAGAGAAAGCGCGGTAAAATATCGTGTTTGATTTAAGACTTTAAACGAAAGAACCGAGTATGTTTCCGATTCGACGCTTTGTCTAAACCTTTACCCCCCACCCACCCCCCACTCCTTTATCATATCGCGCCATGTTCGCTCTAGAACGCCATCTCTACGCTCGCGGGAAATAGCGCATAAAAGGTAAAAATGTGCGGAACAACATTTTTGGTGCGAACCTTGAACGATAAAAAAAATAAAACATATTGGGATTTAACCGAGCTAAAAGTGATTACTCAGTAACTTTCGATAATGAAAACACGGGTAGAAACTAATATATATATATATATATATTCTTTTTTTTTACGAAGAAAGATTTTATCTTTTTCTTTTTTTTTTCTTTATTTTTTTTTTTTTTTTTTTTTAGATTAAAAATAAATTAGAATGACCCATTTGTATTTATTTTGTTAGTATCTTTTTTTTTTTCTTTTTTTTTTCTTTTTTCCTTTTTTAGATTAAAAATAAAATAGTACTATTATTAATATTTATTTTGTCGATATCTTTTTCCTTATTTCTTTTTTTCCAAAAACGTTTCATTTTTTAAGCTAAAAATAAAATAGTATACTATATAATTTTACATAATATATAATATAATATTATATTAATTATTATTAATATATATCTATATATATATATTGATAAAATATATAATAATAATATATGTTATAATGTTAATATTAATGTATATAATAATAATACATATAATAATGAAAATGTAATAATTTAAAAATGATTATTTTGATTTAATACGATCGATCATGGATTATAATTTACTCGTCTTATGATTTAAATAAAATAGAAATAAAATTTGTCATTTTGCAATCCTTCACAACCTTCACCGTTAATATCGTAATATTTGTAGGTAAAAGGAAACTCGACTTTGAAAATAAATCTTTACGTAGGAACGTAGGGAAGCGTAGAAACACATAACGAAGGAAGATTCATGCGCGTTTACGCAAATACGAAGTTATTAATCTCAGGGCTTTCGAGGAAAATAAGGGTTGGAGAATTTCGACGGAGATCCCCTCCGTGATTCATTGGGGCTGATGCAAATTTCCGCGAATTATAGTAGAAGGAAACGAAGCTCGACCGTCTGTGGAAAGTAACATCCCGGATAATCATTTTATTTGATGAATCAAGTGCATTCCTTCAAGTTCAAACATTAAATGTTCCTTATGCATTTAAAATTATAAGATAATTATATGAAATATTAGAAAAAAATTCTCTTCTTACAAATTATAATGCATATATTAATATTATAATATATATTATTATATATTTTATCTTTATATATATATATCATAATAATGATATTATATATATATATATTATTATTATTATTATATATAATTGTTTTACGTTACAACATTATTTTTATGCTTAAGTTTGTTAATATTAATAAAGAATAAAAAATAAAAGAATACATAAAAAGAATAATTAAAGGAAAAAAATTGTAAAATTAATAATAAATAATGTAACGATTTAAATAATTAAAATAAGAATAACGCGATACTTATGATATTTTTCTAATCAAAATAATCGTCATATTATGCCAATTAACGTAATTTATACTTCAATAGATTAATATAGAACAAATGCAATTTCGATGTCGATGCACTTTTACTAATGAAAATCTCAATTGCTGTCTTTATAAACGAGGGGTTAGAACGGGAGTACGAAAGGAGGAAGGGGATATTTATCATGTATCAGGTTCCTATATTAATGAAATATTTGTTCATCATGAAATATTTCTTGGTTACGACTTTTAACATTCGAAAACGAGAAACAATGATAACGTGACGACAGTAACGAACATGGTAATTAATATCGTTCATTAACATTATCAAATAACATCGAGATATTGTTACATAGACCTCCCATATATACGTATGTATATGTATATTATCATAAATGAGATCATAAATGATGATAACCATTTTTTTTCTTCTTTTTTCTTCTCAGCCATTATTTCTTATATCTATATATATTTTTATTGATAATTTACAATAATATTATATATAAATTCATATGTGTGTGCGTGTGTGTGTATTTTTCTTATAATACACTATCTATGATCACATTAATATTAATCAATTGTTTAGGAAAATTCTATAATCTTACATAATTTTATATTTTTCTTTGATTAGATTACTTAATTTTATCGAATTACTATATCTATTATTAAAAATTATAGAATACATATTATTTCGATAATATCATTTAATATTAGAATATATATATATATATTTTTATATTTTTATTTATATAATAATCTATATTATATTGTCTATTCACTTTGCAATATCTGTTCGCATAAGTGTTTAGATAATTAACCAGATTTTATAAGGGATTATAAAAGATTAATAAACCCCTTTTTGAAGTTCTTCACAAATTTAAAATAATATTTCATACAGCATCTTCCATTAGAGCGAGCAAAATATCTGTAGTAATATCTGTAATATCTGTTAAAGTATAATAATAATAATTATAATAATAATAGTAATAATAATAATAATAATAATAATAATAATAATAATAATAATGATAATAATAATACAAAAGCAATGAAATAGTGGATAGGAGGAAAACACATTCTACGCATTTACTTTGACCGCCCGGAGAACCCTGTTAATAGCATGCTATCATCCCCAATTTAACATATCTCACAAGATTTCATTTATTTTTTTTCTCTCTTTTTGTTTTATATATATATATATATATATATATATATATATATATATATATACATATCTTAATATATATATATATATAATATATATAATATATATGATAATATAATAAAATATATATATATAAATATATATATATATTTTGACACTAAATAATTGCTTGATTTAGATAATTTGTATATTGTATATATTATATATATTTATCTTACCAATGTAGATAATTATTATATATATATATATATATATATATATATATATATATATATATATATAATGGTACAAATAATTAATTAATTTTATATATATTAATTTATATATATTTAATATATATTTCATGTACATATATATGTGTGTGTGTGTGTGTGTGTGTGCAATTTTCTTGTTAACGTTTTTTTTTTAAATAACGATATGACTTTTAATTTTCAGATGATTCACAAGTGCCGACATTATGCGAACTATCGGCACGATGCGTTGCATCTCACATACCCTTCGAGTTGGTCGAACACGTTTATCCACCTGTGCCGGAACAATTGCAGCTGAGGATAGCTTTCTGGAGTTTTCCCGATAACGAGGAAGACATAAGACTCTATTCTTGCCTTGCAAATGGCAGTGCGGATGAATTTCAACGTGGCGAACAACTATTTCGTTCGAGAAGCGTCAAGAATCCTCTGCAAATAGGTAAAACATCATATACATTATATAAGGGAAAAGTTGTCCTACATTTTTTTTTTTCATTAGAAAATACAATAAGATTACGTGGAGATTATATTTATTATTTATATAAATATTATGTGTATTATTTTATTATGATATTTTATTATTAAAATACTGTGATAAAATAATATATATTTATGCAGAGTGCCACAATGACAAAATTTTTTTTTTATAATTTTATAATGACAAAATTGAAAATGAGTTTTCAAATCTACTGATTATTATTTCTAAAAGTTCAAAAAATATACAGTATTCTTTTGGAGTAAAAATTATTGATTCTGTACAAATGACAACTGTTTAAAATCCTTGGAATATAACGCATTCCAATTTATGAATATTAATGAACATTATGAATATTATGAACATTGATGATCTTAATAAAAAATATGAAAATGTATTATCTCTTGTAACTTAAGAAATGAATGAAACTTTTATAATACAAGTACAATACAATAAAGTACCAATTATTCTGTATGGATAATAAAAATATGTTCGCACACACATAAATGTATTACGTATAATAATATATTATAATTTTTATATAGGTTTTCATCTCAGCGCCAGCGTAAATCCGCAAATGATGTCAGCAACGTCTGGTGTCGCTAGATCTCAATTCAATGTAGCAGTAACTTTCGATCGTCGAAAGATCACATCGTGCAATTGTACTTGCTCCTCAAAGGCTTATTGGTGTGCACACGTAGTTGCTGTTTGTCTTCATAGAATACATATGGTAAATATATATATGTATATATATAGTCTTATTTATTCTTTTTCTCCTTTGTTTTGTATTTTTTTTTTTTTTGTACATATTTACTATTTCGAAAATATTAAAATTACGATCGAAAAACTTATTGGAAAATAATTTTTCAGCCGACACAAGTTTGCCTAAGAGCACCAGTGAGCGAATCCCTGTCGCGATTGCATCGAGATCAATTGCAAAAATTTGCTCAATATCTTATAAGCGAATTGCCACAACAAATTCTTCCCACTGCTCAATTACTCTTGGACGAATTGTTGTCAGCCCAACCGAATGCCATCAATAGTTATTGTGGTGCTCCTGATCCTACGGCAGGTGCTTCCGCGCACGATCAAACATCTTGGTATCTGGACGAGAAAACGTTGCACGATAACATTAAGAAAATTCTTATCAAGTTCTGTGTACCAGCGCCTATTGTGTTCAGGTGAATTTTATTTTCGTTACAGATAACGTATTAATCAAATAAATGTTATAATTTTATAGATAATACATATTTATATGTTGATGCTATGTTGTAATTTTTTTTTTCTTTTTCTTTTTGAAGTGAATATATCGATATTAAAACTGAATTTTTAATATTGTATTGAGGATTGACCGATCAATAAATAGTACCAAAATTGTTACTATTTTATTTGTTAATAAAAAATATTTATTTTTTATATATATGTAATATTGGATTCTCCGTGAAGTTCGTGCCGATTAACAATTAAATCAGTTGTATTAAAGTAATTTTATTTTATAAACCGCATAGTTTTAGTTATTCGTAATCCGCTATATTTTTGTCATCGTATTTGATCATCGTAAATATTGAAAATTCTTCTCGAGTGTTCAAAATTAAAATTTACAACTCTAAAAACCTAGCAAATCATACTTTCTAATAATCCCTTCGATTGAAGGATCATTTCCATAAACAGCATAAATATCTTTTTTTTATCTTTCCTATGATATAAAAATATCAAATGTCGATTTACAAAATTCACTCTATTGCCGTCCATTTTTAATCATAAGCACAAAATCGAAAGGAAATTACTAAGTGAACAAAAAAAAAAATTATTTATAATAAAAACTTCGTCAAATACACCGTTGGAATATACATATAAACAAAACTAATGCCACTTTTATTATCATTATAGACGTACCGATACATTTTCTTACACACTTGTAAGTGCAAACTAATCACATTAAAAAAAAAATAATAATTATTATTAATAATACAGTTTATTAGTAATCGTTAAAAGATTAGAGTCGGTCAATCCAATATTTATTTTTTTTTTTGTTATTAAAAAGTCGACATTTATAATAATGGATTATTATATTCTGATAATAATAAATATCGTTTGATTAACGTTATCCGATAATATTTTTCAGCGACGTAAACTATTTGAGCACTACAGCACCTCCGGCTGCTGCCGAATGGTCGTCGCTTCTTAGACCATTGAGAGGTCGAGAACCAGAAGGAATGTGGAACCTGCTCTCGATCGTACGTGAAATGTTCAAGAGAACGGATCGTAACGCAATACCGCTTTTAGAGATTATCACAGAAGAATGCATGGCCTGTGAACAAATAATAGTTTGGTGGTTTAACACGAAAGTGGCTTTATTGAATGGTACAGGACATGGTGGTGGTAAACATGGTAATATGAACAGTAACGTTCATGCATCTCAACATGCGTGTTCTTCGTTGTGCGACGAAATTGTCGTACTTTGGAGATTGGCTGCTCTAAATCCTGGATTATCACCGGCCGAACGAGAGATGCTACATGATCAATTTATGGCATGGCATATGAAGATCATCGATAAGGTAATATTAATAAAAGTATTACTTATGCTTATGTTCAAGGAGTTTTGATTATATCCATTAAAAATGAATACTATTGCCTTATTTATTTTTAGGTCACTAAAAGTCGTGGTACCTCGGTATCCCATAATTCGCATAATAAAAATAATAGCAGTAGCTATAAGGATTCATTGAAGAACGATTTAACCGTATTTGTTGGCTTCAAAACGGCTCTTGAGGCATGTTATTTAGATTGGGAAGAATATACTCTTCCGGGTATCACGTACACCGCTGAAAGCAATCCCATGTATCATTGTCCATTTACATGTTTTCGACATGTTGGTGATAGTGGTACCGAAGTAAATCAGGTTTGTTATATCTTTTTTTAAATATGATATATAATTTATCATTGATCTTTTTATATGGTATAAAACGTAAATTGTATATCTTATAAAGGTGAATTCGAGTTCGGCTGTCTTGAATTGCCAACCACCTATTTCTCATCATCACAGCAGACGACCTGTACCATTAGGTCTCGTAGAATTTAGTTATACGGATAGACGAAGATTGAATCCACGAGAATTTCCAGGGTTGTGTTCAAGAGGTAGCGGCGGTGATGGAAATCGTAGCAGTGTTAGTTCTGAAGGTTTTTGCGAAAATGATACCGATATGGCCGACATTTCGGAACCACAATTATTACTTAGACGTGGATGCGCCAGGTTAAATAATTGCGGAGATACAGATTCACAGGTTGATACGATCGTTAATATAATTTGAAAATAATTTTTAATTTATAAACAAATTTATAATACATGATAAATAATTAATGTTTAGGAGGGCGGAGGTAGCGAATCCTCATCGAACAGTAACGTGAGTTTAAAAAATGTTCAAGACTCGAATAAACATTGTTCGAACGTATTATCATCGGAAAGTCATAGTGACAGTAGTGAAAGTAGTAACAATAAGACTACTAACGAAGTGAAGTGCGGCAGGGCGAATTTCGTCGATTATCGTGATAAGTCGCGTACGGTAAATCCTAAAGCAACAGGATCAAAGACTGAACAAGAATCTGAACAAGAGAATGATGCATCCAGAAGACAATCGAAGGATGAAAGTTCATCTTCTAGCAGCGATAGCCCTTCTGGTGACGAATATAACGTTTATTATTATGATTCAAAGGCAACAGTGAATAATACAGGAAACGATTCGAAAACCGAATCACCTTTGACCATAGCACCGAGCGCAAGTGCATTGTTGGGTAATCTAAAGAAAACAGAAGATCCTTGGGGTATATTTCTTGCTAGAGCAGAGGGTCTTTATGCCCATGGACATACGCGAGAAGCTTGTATACTTGGTGTTCAATTAGCAGAAGAATTATTAGCTAATCCTCCGGATTTAATGATCGAGGAACCACCCGTGCCATTGAAAGGAAAAAAGAAAAAGGTAAGATAAAAGATTTTATCTAATTTTGTATGTCCTCTGTTACTATAATCGAATGATGATATCAAATGAATATAAATGTTACAGCAACAAGTGAATCCAGCGTCACATCAATTAACGTGCCTTGCCTCCGCCACTTTGGCAAAATGTTGCTTCTTGTGCACGGTACTCGCTGAAAATCCTGAATATCATAATCTTGCATTCAGAGTAGGTCTCTATGGTTTAGAAATGGCTAGACCGCCGGCAAATACGAAACCTTTAGAGGTAAAATTTATACCTATCAATATGGTTAATACCATTGAAAGTTTTTTTTTTTTTTCTATTTCTATTTCTCTGTTAATTTCTTTATCATTTTCTTTTTATCAGGTCAAACTAGCACATCAAGAAAGCGAACTCGTCGGTTTGTTGAAAAAAATTCCCCTAGGTCAAGCTGAACTTAATATGGTCAGACAAAGAGCGGCGCAATTACGAGATGGTGTATTACGATCAAGAGGGCATGCATTGCTACCAATTATTTTAGCAAGCTTCATATTCGATACTTTGAATACACCGAGTATGTTTATCCTTAACATATATGCATATATAAATAAATTAATATATATATATATATATATACATATAATTAATATATATATATATATATATATATATAGGAGTCTATGAAAAAATGGAATCTTTGAAATATTTTGATTAAGTTTAGTTGTTAAAATACCGCACGCGTTAACCCAAAGTTAAATTTTTGTATGATCAGAATCCATCTTTTTTTTTTTCATACACATTTTTTTTTTCATATACACCTACAATATTAATACTCAGGTAGAATAGAAAAGTAAAGTATAGGAAAAAAGAAAAAAAAAAAAAAAAAAAAAAAAGAAAAAGAAAAAATATTTACAGGAGGTCCGGAAATTAACAAAGAAGCTGATGAAGCTCTGGGTTTCGACGCAGCTGTCGCTGCTTTAGGATTGAAAGCAAACGTAAGTGAAGCGGATCATCCGCTTCTTTGCGAAGGTACTAGACGGCAAAGGTACGTTAATCATCATTAGAAATTTCTCTAAGATCATGGAAACAAAGTTATGATATATTTCTTGTTTTGATTTATAGAGGCGACTTGGCGATTACTCTTCTTGTACATTACAAGGATGCACCGGCTAAAGTAGCTAGAATAATGAACAAACTTTTGGATCGTGATGTTCATCAATTAATTAAGTCTCCTATTCTTAGTAGTTACTACACTGCAAATCCTATCACTAAACCTGAGGCAAGAATTTAAATATTGTCTTAATTAATATATATATATTGTCTGTTATATGACCGTTTCTTAAGTTCAATTTAGATAAAAAATTATTATTATTTATTTATTTATTTATTTATTTATTTTTCAGACGACAACGCATTTGCCGGATGACGAATGTTTGTCGCCTTTAACAGGCACCGATGTTCCTGGAAACAGTGACAATGTTATCGGTAATGGCAGTAGACCACACAGTAGTACAAGCGCGGAATTAGAAAATAGCATGAGTGCGTTAACTCTTCAACCACCATTAGTGCAACCAGTACCAACTAGAACTAAAGAAACAAGGTTTGTTTTTCATTGATAATACATACGTATTAATATATCGTGAATTTTAATGTTAGCTTTATCCAGTTGCCTATTATGTTCTTGGTGATGAATGACTATGAAAAAGCTTTTACATAAATTTTAAAAGTCACGTTATAAAATTAAATAACCATAGCATTTTTAAAGTTATATATTACATATTCTTATAAGCTATACGATAATTCTTGTGATTGATCGCAAGCTCTAAAATAGAAAAAGAAAAAACACGAGAATTTTAATGATCAATCTACAATGTGTTAACAATATTACTTTATTTTTCTGTTTTTCTTTTTTTAAACTTTTGAATACTGAATACTCACGGCATAACCAATCCATGTGGATGGCGTACGCCTAATGACTTCGATTATTGGAAATGGAATACTTTTTTTTCGCTAATGTGATCTCTATCGATTGAATAAGCAAGTTGCAAAGCTATTTAAATAATACAAGAAAGTTCTTCTCAAACATCAATTATTCTATTCAAAATATTAAAATGTAAATAGTATAATCTTAATTTGAAATTATATTAATGAATCTAAATATTTGAACTTAATAAATATAACAAAAAATGTGAACAATTTTATACTTATATTTTAAACAACAAAATATTAAACTTTAAATCACATATATTTTATATTTACACTAAATTTAATTTCGTAAAATGAAAACATACACATACATATATATATATATATATATATATGTGTGTATATAAATTTCTAATTATTTTGTAAAAACTTTTAACGTTAAATTTTAAATCCATTGAAATTAATTTTGAGTGTGATAAATCTCAAAAAGATCATCTATACATAAATCGACAATGTTGTTACTAATTTCAAGCGTGAAGGAGATCGAAAAAATTCGCTAAACGCTTATATGCGTCTACAGCACTCACAAACGATTAATTTTGATCATTTTATAGGTACAAGAGTAAGCGAGTATGTCCATCGATCCCTAATCAACCATCCGAAGCTGGTGCACATTTCATGTGTGAATTGGCTAAAACCGTATTGGCTAAAGCAGGTGGTAGCAGTTCAACTTCACTGTTCACTCAAGTATCAACGAATCAAAATCATCATGTACCACATAGAGCTTTACACATGTGCGCCTTTCAATTGGGCTTATATGCTCTTGGTCTTCATAATTGCGTCAGTCATAATTGGTTGAGTCGTACTTATTCAACACACGTATCTTGGATCACTGGACAAGCTGTAGAAATTGGTGCCCCGGCCATATGGTTTCTCATTGAAAGTTGGGAAGGTCATCTAACTCCTCCAGAAGCTGTCAGTATTGCTGATAAATCTTCCAGAGGTAGCGATCCAAATATGGTCAGAGCAGCCGCAGAATTGGCACTATCTTGTCTACCACACGCTCATGCTCTTAATCCAAATGAAGTGCAAAGAGCAATTTTACAGGTAAACATTATAAATGAATTGAGATAAAATAACTATATGACATCTAAATTAATATCATTCAAAAAATTCCTTTATATTTACAGTGTAAGGAACAAAGTGATGTGATGTTGGAGAAAGCATGTATCACGGTTGAAAACACGGCAAAAGGTGGCGGTGTTTATCCAGAAGTACTTTTTCAAGTTGCCAAATATTGGTACGAGTTGTATATCCGTGTAAGTTTACAATATTACTTTCGAACCTGTTTATGAAATAAAAAGATCGATTAATTAATATTATAAAAGATCGATAAATTATAATTAATTTTTCGATTTTTTTTCTTTTTTTTTTTTTTTTTTTTTTTTTTTTTCTTTTTTTTGTTTACATGCAGCACACACCAGGAGGAGAACAACAAGATGAGATGCCACACGATTCTTTACAGTTAGATCTTAACAGTGCCCTTTTAGTAGAACCTGGTCCTCCGGTAGATTTATCTGCAGGTCAAATGATACCAGGTCCAACACAGGCCGTTGTTGTAACTAGTACACAACCACCTCCTCAGCCATATCCTGCACATCCCACTATAACGACTCTGGCACCCTTGGGTACAGTACAACAGTATTACAATCACGAAGCACAAATAATACAACAACCAGGTGTTTAGATAAAAGTATTTTCTTTCTTTTTTTGGAGAACATATAAAAATAATATTAGTTCTTTCTTTTTTTCCTTTTTCTTTTTTTTTTTTTTCTTTTCTTTTTAAACGTACTTAATAAATTTAACATAAGCCATTTTTCAAATCGAATGCAGTTATAATTATTTACGCATAAAAAATCATTATTCATAATGCCTTGACATTGTTCACGCGCATTAACTAATGTTACATATAACCTTTTGCTTCTCTTTATTTCCAGGAGTTGGCATGCCGTATGCGGTAGCTCCCTACAGTTTTGTACATCCTCATCATTCGATTCCAACGTTCGGTGGCCCGATGCCTTCGCATAGAGTAACTCTACCACCTGCACCACCACACATGCAAATGTATCACACAGCCTTTCCGCCTCATCCTAGATGTCCACAGCATCCTCAACATCCACAACATCCGCATCATCCACCGCCAGCTGCACAGCCACCGCCAGTGCCGCAATACTACGCACCGCAACCTCCGCCTCCGCCAGGAACCCATCATTTGTTCACCATGCAACAAACCATGCCAGTTAACGTACGCAAATTATTTTTATTTTTCTAGATAACGTATGAGGAATTCTTGCAAATTTATTGTTTCTAATTTAAATGTATGGTTTCTCTCTTTTTTCTTTTCTCTTTTTTCTTTTTTTTTTTTTTTTTTTTTTTTTTTTTTTCATTTTTTCTTTTCATCAGGTTCAAGCGGGAGTAACACACGGTCCTATCCCTGGACAAAGTGGTCTGCCTGGACCAGCATTGGTACAGGCTCAACCAATTATATCGACTGTAAGACCTCAACCCCAGGTTAATATATATATATATATATATTACATTATTCTACAATAGATCATTTTTCTTAAAGTCATCGTTTTTCATTGCTATCTCTCTCTTTTTTTTTTCGATCAGGTTCATAGGCAAAATCAACCGTTTAGGCAACAACAATTTAGGGCATTGGTTGCGGCGTATCGCGTAGGTATGTTAGCCTTGGAGACATTAGCTCGTAGAGTTCATGACGACAGGCCCCAGGCAAAATATGCACGTAATCCACCATACGGAGAAGACGTTAAATGGCTGTTAAGAGTTTCGAAACGTTTGGGCTCCCAATACCTTCATCAGTTGTGTGTCTGCACGGTTAACAGTATCGTCAGCCCGTTTGTTCTTCATGAAGTGGCACTCGAAGCGGCCCATTATCTCGCCAGAAATAATCCAACTTTGGTGTTACAACACTTGAGATCGGCTCCTCTGGCACCACTAGTACACAAGTGTCAACAAATGTTAGTTTTACGTTTGATAATAGACAAACTATTGGGTGTTAGTATATCAAAAAATAACAAAGTATAATAATTTGTGTTAATTATAAATTTGTAGGTATATTCAGTGTATGCATCAAAAGTTGTATCATCTGGCACCTGGCGATTACGAGGACTTCGCAAGTGTAGTTTGTGCGGCAAGAGCCGCATTCCATATCACTCCGGAAGGACACACACAATTCAAAGAATGGCTTCAATCTATCAAGAGGTAATAATACTCCATTTCTTTTAACTCTTTGGGGTTTGGTGGGTTAAAAATTGATCCATCCTTTTCTTGCTTAACTTTTTACGCATGGTGGTATATATTTTAATTCATCTCGTTATTATTTCTTATCTTTTTTTTTTCCCTTCTCATTTTGAGTAATATTTTATGTTAAATAATTAGAACGAACGTTTTTTTCATTGTTTTTTATATTAAAAAAAAAAAAAAAGAATACCGTGCAACTTAGATTTTTATTTTCTTTAAAATCATTTGTCTCCGAAATGTTAGCAGGAAGTAATTTTGAGAAATCTTTTTTCCTTTTCTTTTTTTTTTTTTAGAGCAACTATGAAAGATTAAAAAAAAAGAACATAAAGAAATAACAATAATAAATAAATAAAAAAGAAAGAAAAAAAAGAAAAACGAACAATATAAAAGACTTTGTATGCTTGCTTTCAGATCTCAATCGTGTAACAAAGATCTATGGGCGCAAATCAATGCGGCATTACAGCAAAATGGCAAATGACATAGAGCGGAACCAGGCATATCAAGAGGCATAACGTCATTACCCCATTCAACATCAGCAGCCCCTGGAACAATTGCCGTGGCACAGGCATCGTCTGTTACGGCAACGGTAGCAGCTCCATCATTATCGTTATCACCGGTTACGACGACGACAACGACGACGTCGTCCTCGTCTATAGCAGCTACTACGACAACAACACAGAATTTAGTCACCCATCAACATCAACAACAATCTTCGTCCCATCAAGATCGTCGTACGCGTTCACGCATCGGCCATCCACAACAAGGACGACTTGGCCAGGATTTTCATAATGTCTGTTTACGTTCGTCCTCGTGGAAACATCGCGTAAGCGGCAACGATAACAAGGGCAACAACATTGGATGACGTATGAGTTTTCCGTGCAGCACGCACGACGGAAACCGTCTTAGGATTCTTGCTCAAAATGGAAAATTCATCACGGAAATGAGCGCCCGTTCGATCCAATTTGATCAACGTACGGTATCCATGATGACATAAGCTAAAAATTGCTTGATCTAAGAAAAGAAGGAGGAGGAGGAGGAGAAGAAGGAGGAACGAGAAAGAAGAGAAAGGAAGAAAAAGAAAAAGAAAAAAAAAGGAAAAAGAAAAAAGAAAGAGGAAAATAAACAAAAAAAGAGAGAGAGAGAGAGAGAGAGAAAAATCTCATATCTAAAGAAAGATTATCGCGTGTTCAATCGATTCGAATTAATCTGCAGCATTCAGAGAACGCAATTCACTACACATACACACACACATATATATATATATATTTATATATATATATTATATATAATATATATATATTATATATTATATATATTATATATATATATATAGAGAGAGAGAGAGAGAAAAAAAGAGAAAGAGCATCGTCGTTAATATACTTGAAAGAGTAACGATGCCAATTTTTCACGACTTGTCCTTCTTCGTTAATCGTTCAATCAAAATTCTTTACTTTCGTAATCGCGTACAGACATCGCGAATTAAAGAGACAGAGAGAAAGAGAAGAAAAAAAAAGAGATAGATAGAAAGAGAGAAAGAAAAAGTTATCAAAAGCAAAATGAAAAACAGAGAAGAAAAAGAAATATATATGTATATACATACATACATATATATATATATATGTGTATGTATATATGTATATACATGTATATATATATATATATATGAAAAAAAAGGAATAATACGGGCAACAACAACAACAACAACAACAAAAACAACAATAACAACAACAACAACAACAAAAAGAAAAAGAAAAAAAAGAAAAACACAGAACCACTCCTCGTTTTTAATTTAAATCGTCCGATCGTCTTTTAGCCGCAATTAGATAGGAAATTTTATTTTGACTCGTCACATAGATAGAACGAATTTTTCTCTCTTATTTTATTTTTGTAAACAAGTAAAAAATTTTAATATCGATAATGCCTATTTATATAACTGTAATAGAAGATTCAAAACAGAATGTTTATCAAAATAAGTGATATATATATATATATATATATATATATAAACCTCTTTTGAACATTACAATCGAAAATTTTTATAGTCATAAAGAACACTCGAATCACATAATCAGTCAAAAAACTGATATCTTTCGCCAATTTTCCCCATCTTACTTGGCTTTATTGGTTTTTTCTTTTTTCTTTTTTTTTTTTTTCTTTTCTTTGTTTCCTTCTTTCTTACTTTCGGTCCTTTTTTTTTAGTACTATAATAAATAAGATATATATATATTATTTTTTTTCTTTTCTTTTCTTTTCTTTTTCTTTTTTCTTTTCTTTTCTTCCTTTTTTTTTTTTTTCTTTTTTTACTATATCATAGACGTACATATATTACACGCAGCTCTGCAACATAATCATTGTCTGTCATTAATGACAATCCGTAAAGGAAATGATCTCTGTAATTTTTAAATTAAAATAATTTGAAATATATAAATAAAGGAACAAAGTTATATAGCTGACATATCACCTCAAAAATTTGAGCCACCCACCCAAAAAAAATTGTAACCAACGTCCGGCCCCTCCATCCCCCTATAGAAACCGATATAATATTATGTATTATCTTTTTATTTTTCTTTCTTTTTTTTTTTTTTCGTTTTCGTTTTATTTCTTTTCTTTTTCTGTTTCTTTCCTGCCCCGCCACCTACCCTTCCGCCCCTATAATCTCCTACTTTTTTTTTTTATATATACGTACGATTACACTATGCTTACAAAAAAAATATCTAAATTATTTTAACATTAATCATATGAAATTATGTGATCAATGTTGAAGCGTTTCAAAATTTCGAAAGTGGTGTATATATTATCAAGTAATAATGTTTCTGGTGGCTCTTAGAAGAAAAAACGAATGACGAAGAAGAAAAAAAAAATAGGAAAAAAAATACTTTACAGATTAGTTCACATATACATACACGCACACACACACACATATATATATATATACATATATATATGTATATGTGTACATATACACGTATACACACATATATACGCCCAATGAACTGACAGTATATTCTGATCATTTTCCGTTATCATGGGAACGCGGAATAGAAAGAGATAGAAAGAAATAGTATATAATCATTAAGATGGAACCATTCATTTCTCACTTGAACATTCGATAGCTTAAGTGAAAATTATTAAGATTAAGTAAACGAAAATAATGAGAGAAATAAAAAGAGTAAAGACAAAAAAAAAAAAAATAAAAAAGAAAAAAAATAAGTAACCCACGAGATATAAACGGTAAGAAATTTATTTTGCAATATGTGACGATGACGTAAGGAAGAAGAAGAAGATGAAGAAGAAGAAGAAGAAAACAAACAAACAAAGAAGAAAAAAAGAAGTTGAAAAAAAAAAATAAAAAAATAAAACAATACTGTATTCTACGAATATATGCCGCGTCCACGGGATTGGTGCCGTGTTTCGTGGACATTGATATATAATATATATATATATATATATATATATATATATATATATATGTATATGTATATATATATATATATATGTAATTATTATTGTTTTTAGTATGAACTCTAAACAGTGCCTCGTCGAAATCTATATAGAAGAAAAAAAAAAGTAAAAAATACTAAGGGGAAGAAGAAAAAAACGAAAAAAAAAAAAGTAAATAAATAAATAAATAAAAAGAAAAAGAGAAAGGAAAAGAACATTTTATGCGAGTCAAGAATATTCTATGAATGGACGACATATTGTCCAAAGGGGTAGGGGGAAAGAAAGATAGATAAGAAAGAGAGAGAGAGAGAAAGAGAAAGAACGAAACTCGTCTTTAATTATTCTGTATCATTCGCCAGTGTTATTATAAATAAAATTACGCTGTTTTATCATTAAGAATAAATTAGAAATAACGTATGCGATTACGTATATATTAAAATTAAATGTAAAGCACGTCTATGTTTTCAAAATGATATTGAAGGGCAGTACACAGAATAATATAAAATAAGAAAAAGGATAGAGAGGAAAAATGTGTGTATGTCGTATGCATGTATGTATGTGTGTACGTATGCATGTTACGTATGTATGTATGAAAGAAAAAAAGATAAGGATATAGAAATACCGATAAGATACATACATTCTCGAGGATCTGCAAAGATAATTTTTCATTTATTATTATTTCATTTCTATCAACGAAATAGTGCCATTTTACTTATTTTTAGTTTCATGTTAGAAAAGAACAAAAAAAATTTTATCAATAGTATCACGTGATCATGTCTTTTTTTTGCTACACGGGAAATATATATATTATATATATTTATTATATATATTATATATATTATATATATTATATATATTATATATATTATATATATTAAATATATATATTACATTATAAATATATTATTATATTTATATATATATATATATTTTATATATACATATAAAATAAAAGATTACATCAAAAATAAAAGAAAAAACTCGTGAAACTACTTTTACTATATTTTCTAGTTCTTCTTTTTTTTCTCTTTTAGTCTTTTTCTGTCTTTTTTTTTTGTTTTTGTTTTTTTTAATTTTCATTCTTTTCTTTTGTTTTTTTTTTTCTTATTATTATCTTCATTCTTTTCAATTATTCAATTCCGTTATTAAAATGATCTCATTATAGCATCTATTCGAGGCACATTCATTTCATGAATGTGTTTAAGTATAGACTCAGCGTATAGTCGATAACGTTATCCATAGTGAATAATAATTATCTAACTAGCCTACTTTATTAGTAAACTCTTATAGAAACATTATAAATCTGCAAAATTTTCAATGAAAATGAAAGATGAAAAAATGAGGATGAAAGGTTTAAACGATAACCGAGAATGATAAAGAAAATAGAAGAAAGAAGACAAAGATAGATAGATAGATAGAGAGAGAGAGAGAGAGAGAGAGAGAGAGAGAGAGAGAGAGAGAGAGGAGAGAGAGAGAGAGAGAGCGACATACGAAAGATTATAAACACATTATAGAGATGCAAAACAAGACAGAAAATCCTTACGTAGATCGCTAGCATCCTATTTATTTCTTTGCCGAACATAATCTATATAAATATATACATATATACACAATGTGACAAAACATAAAGCGTTACAAATTGTTTTTCAAAAAATCATTGCGACTATGATTTTGAATGAATTTGATTTTTTCTTTTTTCTTCTATTTTTTTTTTTATTTTTTTTTTTTTTTATAACCACTAAAGCAAAATGATGTAATCGTTATATTGAAAAAAGAAAAAAAATTAAATTGTTTTACCATTTTATTAGTTTTGAGAAAGAAAAGAAAAAAAAGAACAACTTGTAACACTTCATATGGACCATCGATTATATGTGTATATGTGCATATATGTATATATATATATACATATATATTTACATATATATATATATATATATATATATATATATATATATATATATATATATATATATACAGGTTGATTATAAATTAAGGATCATTTGAATCTCTCATTTGTTAAGAATAATAAAAAAAAGATATATATATATATATATATATATATATATATATATATATATAAAACAAAAATTAAAAAACATTATTGAACTTTTGATTTAACAACGAAAATCGATTTCTCTATTTCGTACTCTTAAGATATATGAAAAAATCACGAAACTTTTCTTAATACGGATATATTTTTTTTCTAATTCCTATTAACAAGTAAGATATTACAATTGTTCGGTAATTTATAATCAATCCGTATAATAAAATATACATACCTATAGATATATAAAATATAAGTACTTTATGTGGATATAAATATAAATATAAAGATTTGCGAAAAAAAAATGAGAAAGTATCGTTCGTAGTAAGTATCCATGTAATAATTAATTTTTGGTGCACGTTCGAGTAATATTAAAAATGAAAATAAGATAGATTCTTGATGCTCGTAAGTACATACTTTTATGTATGTACATACTTACGTGAGAAAATGATCGTTCGAAAGCTGATCTTATTCTCTACATTTCTAACGATCGCAAAACGTAGAAAATCCAGAAAAGAGATAGATAGATAGAGAGAAAGAGGACGAGAGAGAGTGACAGAAAGAGAGAGAGAGAGAGAGAGAAAAAAAAAGGGCGAGAAATAAAGGGATGAGGATGGAGAACGTGAAAAAGCACGCCGAGAATTATATTTTTACACTTGATCAGAAAAAAAAAAGAAAAGAAAAGAAAATAATAAAGCTGAAATAAAGTGCTACGTGACAAAAAAAAAAAAATAGAAAAAAAATAAAGGAAAAGAAGAAAGAAAATTAAAAATAAGAAAAGAGAAAGAAAACAAATGAAGAAGATTTAACGCCGCGGGGCGACGTTAGACTCTTTGCTTTAGTCTTATTAAGGATATAAACGGTATTAGTGTATCGTAGAAATATGTAAGATCATAATAGAAAAATTTGAGATCGAATATAATTGTCTGACCAATTTGATCTATTGATAACGTTGAAAATAAAAAAAAATGGCGTCGACCAACATAGATGGCGTCCTCGATCGTTTTCCAAAATTTAAAAACTAATGAAAAAAAAATTGTCCATTCCTTTAAATCCGACTATTAAAATTCATCGATCTCTCTCATTAGTTCTGAAT